TCCACTTTGAATGTCTGTCATGCCCTCTCAAGGTTTTTTAATCTGGGCTTTAGTGCCAGGATCAACAAAGTGCCTGTGGTGACACACTGTATGATGGTCGTTTCCTGCCCCTGTCAGAGCTGTAGGGAATATTCACTCAAAGTCAATACAACCCAATTCTTATTGAAGCAGACAACATGCTGCCTGGAAGGTGTGATGACATGCCATAGCAACACGTTTCAGCCAATATGGTTACAGAGAGCACCATGATACTCATAAGACATTATAGGATGAGTAAAATACTTGCTATCGAAGCAACCATGCTCAACATAGAAAAGTATTTTGATCACATTTGCAATATCTTGGAACGGTTGTTATAAGACACAATTGTCATATTCATAGTGATTTATTCAGTACAATGCTTTATATGCACTTTGAAGGGGTACATTTCGGCTTCATATCAGGCTTTCCATGCCTGCCAGGTTTGTTTGTATGTGGGAGTGGATATTTTGCTGAGTGACTAATAATGATAAAAGGTCATGTAGCATTTAAATGTACGCCTTCAAGTGTTTTTCACGCAGTAACACTTAAAAAAAATTACCTGAAGGTTATGCAATTTGGCTGACGAGGATACTTGTAGTTGATTTGTCAAAAATGAAACAGAAGAACAACCGTGCCACCACAGTGGATGCATCGGTGCAGCCAAACAAACTGACCACAATCTGATTTCCCGCTGTAATTTTCAACACAACAGCATGCGGGGTGGCTACCGTGCTGAGAGGTTGGAGTTTCTTCATGTAACAGCTTACTGTTTGCTCGGTCCCTCTTCTTCCATTGCTCCCTGCAATATTTCAAACTGCATTGGATTTGAATAAATTAAAAAAAACACCTTGTGTTACAAGACACAGCGGTGTGTTACAGTGTTAGGAGACCGGGCAGTAATGCTGGACATGCAATCTGAATCCAGTGCAGGAATGGCAGACTCTGCCACTAAGAATAAAAACTACTGAATTTAAATTAGAATGGCTATTTCAGAAGAAATACCAACCAAATACTATTTAAAGCATGCACATTTAGGGGTGCACAAATATAAATTGTTACACCCCTAAATTTGCTTTCATTCTGCCATCCTACATTGCATTTTACATCCAGTTCATCCTCCAAAGACGACTTTAAAGTAATTTGGCTAGGACAGATAGTAGTAGTCATTAGTTCACATCAGTCCTTCATGCAAGAGATCCAAAGCAAACCAAAGCTACTTGTACTGGCTTCATTGCTCAGGTGTTGACTTTGAGACTTGCCTTGACTTCAGTCTGCTTGCCTTGATGTGTTCTCTCTTTTCACACTTATCTTGCATTTCCTCTGAAACAAGTGAGCCGGATGTAGAGCAATACTTCATCGTGAAAAAGCAAAACAGTGCATTTTATCACAATATGTGCTCCAAACATGTACTTTTCTTCAGGCTTTTTCCTGATTAGGCTGAAAAAATAGAAGCAGACATGTTAGAGCCACCAGTACATTCATTAGAGCAAATATTCTCATTGTGATTCATTCTGATCTATTTTAGAAGAGAAGGTTGGCTGTTTGATGACAATAATGTATTTCCTAGCAACCACTGCCCATGTTTATTGGACTAAACTGTGCTGAGATGAACATTGGAAATGAATCGGATCAAATGGTGGGTCTAAGTGAGAGCACAGGGAGAAAAACAAACTCCTGTAACATCGAGAAAACTCTTTTGTTCAAAATGCCAACATTTTACCTACATACATTTAACTCATACTTGAATGTATATATGTGGGATCAATGAGTCCAAAGTACCCATGCATAAGGAGTGTGTGTCGTCCACCACCATGAAATGATTCAGCAGATGTAAAAGGATGTCAGTGCCATTCATAGTAAGTATTTATGAAATAATTAAGTATTTTTTATGGCCCTCCGTGTCCCTATCATGTATTCTGTATTTTCTGTAGATCACAGAGACTTCCACATAGGGAAATGTAATGTACCCACCCTCCCACACAAGTTACTTGAACAAAGCAATGATCAGCTAGGTTCCCATTTTGCTCCTATGCACAGCTGCAATGCCATTTATCTCCTCTTAACTTCCTTTGAAAGGTCATTAAACCGGTCTTGGAGCTGTGAAGTAAAGCACTGCATCATGTTGCAGGTTTCATCTGCTGGCATGCCTAATCTGGGCCAGAAGGGCTCAAGTACATATGGCTGCCATGTGAAGTTTTATATTTAAATTGGCATTGACGAAGCCATGAGGAGGATTGAAAATGAATAGATATCTAAGAGAGGGAGATGGCAGCACGGAGGGACACAGTGAGACAGCTGGGCAAAGAATGAAAAGGGAGACATTTCCCGTATATCCAGTTGAAATTACTCAATGATGTTTGTGATCAGACGGAGTAAAGTCTGTAAAATCTGTCATAATATAGGCATTCGTTCACTCATTCTTACACTATATGCTCACTCGTTTGATCGTATAAATGGCCGACTGGCAGAAAGGAATTCAACTTGAAATGCTAATAAAGAGTGCTGAACAGAGCATTAAAAAGTGCTGCCATCAAGCAGTGCTCAGGCAGACTGACACACTGCTGACTGCGTGTCAGAGAATTCAAATGAAGTAACCGATGATCAATTTGAGGGCACCCATATTCACGGCTAAATCATTCATTCGGAGCCCCTGGGGGCTGAGAGGGAAAAGACTTGAGGGATGAAAAGGAGGAAGCTGTTCTAAAGATGTGGCTTTTATCCACATTGCTTACTTTTTAAATAAAACATAAACATTATATAGGGTGATAGTAGCACTTTTGGGTCATAAAGCAACGTGTTAAACAAACCTTTACAATGTTTAGCTGCAGTAATATATAACGCAAAAGCTTCTCATGCATGTTGCTGTTTGTGGCTGAACCAGCTTCTACAACTCATCTTTTTTGTTGACCTCTAGTGTGTTTCTTGGTTTGTGTTGATTGATGATTGGTGCAGATGTTTCTTTTCACCGGTTTAGGTAGAGTAGAGGACATTATATTCTTTCACAGAAATCTATTGCTCTATACAGCACATAGAAATATGGCAACAAAACTAAATGAATTATGACATTGAATCTGTGACAAAAAAACTGTTTTGCGAAAGAAATGTACTGATTCAAGGAGTTAATCTCATTCAACTTGAAGTTGTAAACTTACTTTTTACAATTTTTTTCACAAGTAATGATGTCAGAGCTTTGGAAGAGGATGCAGGATTTGTTACCCTGAGTGTCTATCGCAAAAAGTTATTCTCTTCTATTTTCATACTGATAACAAAGTCAATTAAAATCCCATCTTTCTCTCATTGTATTGTTACGGTTCTTTTTTTTTTTAAAGTAAAGTGGACAGCAAGCAAAACCCCATTTGATTTCTTCAAGATTTAAATGTTCTCTTATAAAATGCACTATCCAAAAAGCAGAAAGAATACCTAACATCTTCTAAACATGGTTGGTTTGTATTGCAGACTTTTGTGTGTGTGTGTGTGTGTGTGTGTGTGTGTGTGTTGTATCTATTTTGTTGGCTGATTTTTACGTAGCATTTATATACATTTATTGAACAGAAATGAGATTTCAATTAGAGCCGGCTTTTAAGGTGAGACTATGGCGATGATAAAGGTTTTTACTTGTGCTTGATCAGATGGATCTTTTATTGCACTTTAAATCACACACTTACTCTAATTGGGCTCATCGGTCATACAAAGTCTGCATCATTAAACATATCTAAATTCAATCTAAATCCAATTTTGAGGAAATGCTTTTCAAACTAAGTTTGTAATCAGGACATTACATTTCCCCCTCTCAATAAGCTAAGCAGTCTCAGCAGTGTGGAGAGTGTACACCTTTCTATATGTGTGCCATCTGAATGTTTTGCATCACACCTTTCACATGTATCACACATCCAATCCCAATGAAAGAGCCGCATGCAAATACGCATGTTTGATAGTGCTGTGTGAGAATGAGCACATGTCCATGTAGAAATAGAAACATTTCTGGGATTGGCAAAAAGAACAGATGGTGAAAAAAATTACAGTTTCCAAATCAATTTGCATTAAAATTATGTCTCTTTTGACTGAACCGATACATCATAAATCCTCTTTTGCTGTGTCTCACCCAGATAAATATGATATACTGAATTAAGAATGAAGAATGGCTTTTTTTATTGTTATAATAACACAATTTGTATGCAACTCTCTCACACAAAGAAACCCAGTTGCATGTATGCCTAATCGCTGGCTTTCAGTACCTGGGTATGCCAGGCATTAGCCACTGACTCAATAACAGAGTGGCATCCTTTTGCAATTCAGACAGCCCAAAGAAAAAGCCTCAGGATAGTGATATTTGTTTCATTCTCAGTGAAACAGAGATGCCTGTAACATCTGTCTGTGGGATTGTTTTCTTGATCTATGTCTCAGCGGGAACAGAAGCAAATATTTTCAGGATATTTTTTGATGCTGGCGCTGCAAAGTACATCTTTAGCTGCAGCCGTAAACAACGAGGCTGGAATGATGTGCAGTTTAGCAGGTTGTACTATCAAATCAGAGCATTATTCAGAGCAAAGGACCTTGAGAATATTAAATGAAAACAGGTGAACATCACAGAACAATGGTCAAAGCATAATCCCCAAAACAGATTTATTTTTTATCAGAGTTTAGTGAACACAACTGAATGCAAAGTCTCTGCATCACCCGACTCATTACAGATGTGTGTTATTTTGCTTTAAATTAACTTTAATGTGAATTTTCATGTATGGAAGCTCTGAACTACTACATATAATATTGAAATACTAATAATATATTTGATTACATAATTGTATTAACTAATTGTTGGATTAGACTACAGTTTCCACAACCAGATGTGTATTGTTTTTCAATAAATGCATTCGGTGAGATTGGGTCGAGCGAATTAATGTGTGACCACTCTGCCGTCATTGTTGTCGATAGTATTACTTCATTTTGGTGTGAGCAGTTGTCTTTCTTGTGATCGTCAGGGAATTTGCACGTTGGAAGGTGAGGAACACAGCGATCGAGAGAAGGGACCTGATCCGGAACCCCGTGCCACTCATGCCTGAGTTCCAGCGCAGCGTACGCTTGCTGGGCCGCAGACCCACTACTCAACACTTCATCGACACCATCATCAAGAAATATGGAACCCACATTCTCATCTCAGCCACCCTTGGAGGTAAGAGAGGTTTCATTTGCAATTCTATGTTTGATTGACGTTTTTTTTTACACACGGTTTTAAATGAATCCCACACATGATTATACTTTGAAACTGCATCACCGTGGTGTTCTGGATTTTTCATCTGCCTGTTTGCAACAAAGTCAAAACAGCTCTGTGAAGCAGTTTGGGGGCCATGTTTTTCTCCTGGGTGATGGGAAAATCTCTCCCACAGCAAATATGCAGCTACTTCACAAGAGGGCGAAACAAAGGATACTCGAGACATTTTAACGGACCAAATAACTTTTTCTTCAAAGCAAGATTAGGGCAACTTAAAGTGACCACAGTTAAAGATTAGTTGAACAATTTCACGAGACATATTTGCACCAGTGCAGCACTTGCATCCGTAAAGCGAAGCCAAATGAACAGCATTGATGAATGAGGAGCAGTTTCCAATCCATTTACTCGCTGATAAAGTGAGTCTGAAAACAACCCCAAGATTTAAGAGTCACAATTTGAATCAGGTTCGCATTTGTAAAGCTGATTGTAATTGGATAGTTGTTATGATGAGTCTGCTTTATGAGAAATTAATGCAACAGCATATAAGACCTGCATTTGAATATGTAGTGACGGCTACATACTGGTATGTGGATTTGTCAGCTGTTCAAGGTCGATGACTTGCACAGGATCGACTCCACTCTGACCAAAGTGAAGCACAACTCTATTCTGAACAGGTACTCCATCTCATCTGGTTTAAGTGGATTTTCCAGCAGGACAGTAATCCAAAACGTTCATCAAATCTATGATAGGACTATCTGAAATCCACAGTCACCAAACTCCATCCCCACTGAACACGTGGCAACATTTGATAAGTAAAAAAGCAAGACGACCTAAAACATTCTCATAACCCTAAATACTCACAATGAATAGTTTTCCTTTTATGAGAAATGATCGGTATGTATCTCAGACAATACGTGTACCTTATTCACAGCCTTATTTACGGCCCCAAGCAACATTACATGCAGATAAGAGCATAATGAAATTAGTAGTTTTACTTTTCACATTTACATGTTTTTGCATAATGGGTAAAAAGACCAAATGTGATAACAAGATGCTGACTCCAGGATGCTTTAGAAATTCATCTTCTGAATCCGCTCCCTGAATGCACAAGTGTCTAACAGCATAGCTCTAATTTCATTTGCAACACACCAAGACCATGATAGTCTTACATATTATAATTGCAGTTTTATGTACATGCTAAATTTAACCGGAAGATAATCTACTTCATGAGTACTTACAGAGCTTTCAGGTAGATGGGAGAGGATGATTATCATATGTATCGCTCTGATTAATCTACAAGCACATTTCATATTGGAGAAGAGGCACTTTCATAAGTACAGACATACTATTTTTTTATGAGAGAAACATTGCTATTTCATTTTATGAAGTGTTTTTTAAAATGTGTTTCTATTCCACCAGACGGGCGACAGCCGTGGCCGCCGGTGACATTATGTTTTCCGTCCGTCTATCCCATTCTTGTGAAAGCGATATCTAAGATATACAAATTTGGCACTAATATCCGTTTGGACTCATTGTTGAACTGATTAGAATTGGGTTAGAATGGTCACTGTGACCTCCCTGAACACATAACTGTAAAAGTTCATGACAATTTCACACAAATGTGTAATTGGGTGAAACGCTGAAGTGATAACATTTTGGACAGACATGGATTGAAACTACAACTTCAGTGGTTGGTAGAGGCATACAGCCACAAGGCGGTTACTAGTTTTATTTTTTTGGGAATTAATAAACCACCACCACCAAAAACCCTGCAATTGTTGGGAAATGTATTTTTAGAGTCAAATTAAATTACTAATTACAAAAACCCACACTGGAAAGAGGAATAAAAGCCTCTCATGGAGGATTTCAGTATTTTGGATGTGCTTCCCAAAATAAAAGTTAAGCACCCCTGCTGTCGAAGTCTAAAAATAAATGGCTTCTCCCTCCAATCTCTTACCTTATCTCAAGCTCTGAGGGACACATGAAGGCAACTAACTGTGATTACTTTGACAATTGCATTTCAAAGACATAATTAATACGATCATTTCCTCTTTTAGTCAAACTCTGTATGTATTATATAACTGTATGCACGAAACATAGCCAGTCAGTCCAGTTGTGTAGTAGGAAAGTTGTCACATTGTAATCTCACAATCAAATACCTTTGAGAAATATTCATAATGCTTTTATCATGTTTTTCTTCTCCTTACTATAAAACTGTACAAGGCATAATTGGAACTTAACACATGCAAACAACGTTTAATTGGGATATATTTGTTCCAACACTTAGCAAGAAAGATCATTTAGGGTTAATAATGTGTTGAGACTATGGTCAATTTTGCAGACCTTTTTGAACCTATAGATATGGATATCCTTCGTATTAAGAAAAGAGTCAATCCTTATTGTCCTGTTCTCTTTATTCATAATTACAGAACAAATGATTCTATGATAACCTAGAATACCTAGATACCCAGAAACCCAGAACCGTTGATGCCAAAGCTGTTGGCAGAGAAAATAAATCCAGTAGGAGACTTCTTTTATTTCATAATCTTGCGGTGTACTTAATGTCAAACGAGCCGTTAATAATTTAGCTAAATGGTGCAGAAGAATATCAGGTGTGAAGGGTTAGAGTTTCAATATCGTATCCCCTACTCTGTAAGGGGATTCATACTGAGACACTCATTTTGGAAATTGGAAATACAATATTGGTCTGAAACATTATATGAAGGTAAAAAGTAATTAAGTGTGTCTAAGCGGGGGAGGATGCCACTGCCACAGATGCACCAAGTGGCTAAAATTGGGCAAGTGAGCCACATAAATAATCCCAGGATCGTTTTCAACCACAGCATCCTTCCTGATCTCATCATATTGCAAATATAAGGTGTTATATTTGTCCTCTTATTCTGTACATTCCTTGCCTTTCATTCATTTTTAAACTGCGGCTCCTCTTCTCTGCCTCTGAGTTATCACCATATTATCTATAACCTTGAGGCCATCTTGTTTCAAGTTATGGGTCAGTACACTCTTATCTCAATCTTGGGATTGCCCATTAAAGAACACAGTTATATGAAGCAATAAATGTGCACACCCGTCGAGTGATAAAGGAAGAAGAAGAGGCTAATTCTCTCTTTAGCGACCTATATGTTGCAGTCTCCAGATCCATTATACACTTGAGAGGAAAGAATTGAATGCTCCCTTTCACATCCAACATAAAGTTGAGTGGTCAAGTGTGAAGAGGCCCATTAAAGGTTTCCTCCTCTGAACTGAGTGGGAATGGTTCTTCAGAAATGTTGTTTTTTGTTGTTGTTTTTTAGCCTAATGTTTTTGCAAGGCAGCTAATGTGCATTATTGTGGTGGTGCTTTTATACCTGTGAATTGCTACCGACATAGCTAATAAGCTTTGAAAAATTAGAATATTTATGGATAAAAGCCACCTTTTTATCTACTTTTTTTTGTTTGTATTTTTTTATGCCATATATAACTTGGATAGTTTGCTGTTGATAACTGATTGATATTGAAGTGACAAATACACAGCGTCACAAGCATAGCATTCCAACAAGTCCACATACATAAATAACAAAACAATTCAGTTGTCAGGGCGTTCCAATATGACCCGTATAACCCTTTCAAAAAAGAGTCTTAATCCAATCTTTTAGGATCTGACGCCCCTACAGTTAAGTGTATTGTGTGGAGTGTGGAGTAGTAGTGGTACGGAGCAATGTTTGAGAGTGGGTTTCTGATTTCTTTGTATTGTGTACATACAAAAGGACACACAAACACACCCGAGATCACACAGGGGACACGAGTACACAGTCCTGCTGCAGGTTTTGTTGTTCCTTTGGCCGACATCAAGTGGTGGTAACAACCAAAGAAATGGACCACAGTCTCCTGTGTTGATGTCATGCTGTTTATGTCCAACAACTGGCCTCTTCCTTTTCCATAAGACTTTGTGCGACAGTAAAACCTCCCACTTCCTCTGCAATTGCCATTGACTAACACTGTTTAAACAGCTGACCAGTGCTGTGGTTTCTGCGTGAGGACACTCTCATTTAATCCTTTCCACCGATTATGTAACCCCGTCCCTGATTCCATTTTTTAAACTAAAGCCCTAATTTTAGTGGAGTATTACTTTGGGACTTGACAAGTAGAGTGTGACCTTTTTCAATGAATCTTCTTGTTTCTATTTTAATGTCCGTTGGCTTCTTTTCAAGTCAGAAACAATGCTTTATGTGGTGCTTGGAAGCTTTGGGCACCATCACACTCTGACAATACCCTTTGTTTATGTCTGGATTTATGGTGACACTCTTTACTGAATATAAAGGTTTGTATTTTTTTGTCTACATTTAATGCTGAACATGATCATATCTGATTTATTTACAATTAAAATCACAAAAACTAAATTAACTTACATTTGTAAAAACTATCTCACGGTGTTAGTAATTGTGTGGAAAAATAATACTGTTGTAATGTCAAGAAAAGCTTACGCTAACAAGCATTAGGAGAGGAAGATGTTTCCGTAACTTTCACTTGACATTACTGACTGACCGCGTCTGCTGAAGATGTTTGAGGAAATAATTATAAATCTCCTGCTGCCTTTCTGCCGTCTGAACATTTGAACTACCTCATAGTCAAGTCTCTGGCATATGTGGTGTCTTTGGGCATTAAGGGATGTGCAACATAGGAACTCACTGCACCCTGGGTTCACGCTGTGCGTGGAATACTTGAAGCTGTACTGTGTCTATAAATACTAGAGGAAGGTACCGCGTAGGAAAAAAAGTGTGAAGGACAGATTTGCATTTTTTGCTAAAGCAGTGAGAGACTTATTATTCTGTCATCCCCTCTCCTTCATATGTTTGGAATTTTTTCAATGTTACACTTGGAGTGAGACTGCTGCTGTTTCACTGTGAATCCTGTTGATATACAGAGGGGCCAGAGCATTTGGGTTGAGAGAGAGAGAGGAGATGCAAATGTTCATGAAAGTGTAGGAAGAAAAATAAGCCATTGCATCCACTACAACTACAATTTTAAAAAAATATATACGGCCGTTACAGCTAATACCATTGTTCGCTGTCCCAATCAACTGCGTTGTCGTGGAAGCATAGCGCCCACCCTCCGGTTCCCCCTCTGGTTGACACTGTTAGCTCTGTCAGCACAGTTGCCTTTTATTTGCACTGTGAGCGTTGTTAGCTGCTGTCCTCAGCCCAGCCGTCTCCGTGTTGAGAGCCCTCTGGAGGCACTAGATATGCTCTGAATTCAGAATTTAGCGCCTTTAGGTGCAGGCAGACCTGGTAGAAAGAACCACGACTGACCGATTAGATTGAGATTCCACATGCTGGAGGGACTGTGTCTTAGCTGTGAGGACTTATTTGCCCTCCCTCTCTGTAGTGAATACAAATTTTCTGTGACTGGATGGGATACCTTTTCCCTGAAACAGTCTTATGCGTTCAGCACTGAAGTGGAAGAAGTAGTTCATTGAAATGACTTGTGGTCACTGAAGCCTGAGGCTAGGGTTCATGCAGAACTCTGGCTGTGCCTTGGGTTGTGGTGGAAGACTGCCCTGTGTAAGCTGTCGACGATACCTCTTTGCCACGAAACTTTAGTAGTTGCTGTTGTTCTGCTGCCAACATAAAAAGCACAGGGCACAATTGGGCATTGAGAGCGTGGCTATCTCAAAGAAACAGCCCCACTTTTAGAATATCTCTTGCATAAAGCGAGGACAATCTTGTTATAGTTGAGTAGAAAATTGGTCGAAATAATTCCTCTACTTATTTGAATGTGTGTTTGCAGTCATTCTGTTCATTTTAGAAAGTATATCCACCGCCAAGGATATATTATTACAACAATCAGTGGTTATTCACCTGTGATGTTTATCACAGGTTTTCTCGATTAAGGTAAGAAAACTAAGTTTATAGTTTCTATATATTGCCCTCCTTGGGTTCTACTGCTTTCTGTTGGGTCTGTTCTGAAATACACACGTTTGTCATGTCGAAAACATACACAGTTTAACTGCATAACATATTTAAAGCAGGATATGTTGTAACACATTCTGTGTATTTATTCTATGAATCTATATGGCTTATAAAGGTATTTTGAAAACAACAACAACAACAACAAATCAATTAGTCTTTCCCCTGCCCAGAATGAAACCGTATAGTTTAACATTGTCCATAAAGTGACCCACACACGTACCATTAACACCAAATTGAGCACTCCCAGCCATTCCATTACTTTAAAACCCTACTTGCACTCCTAACCCTCGTTGACATCCACCTGCACACGCACACTAAAAAAGGAACGGAATAAGAAGTACATGCGTACGAGATGCCTTTTCACACATCCTCCTTTTAGGTGAAACAGTCCATTGTTTTTGAATACCTCTCAGCTTCAAACACAGAAGCTCTGCGTGAGCTGATTCATTCTGGCAGAGCGCCAGCAAGGCACCCCGTAATAATGTAACGCAATGTATTATTTACAGAAAGGTGCACACAGATGATTTTCTTTTTTAAAGCCACGGAGGTTATGATTTTGCCTGTCCTGCAGCAATAACCACTTAGTATTTATGTACAGAGGACCTCCTTTATGCCACACTAAATCTCAATAGAGAGTTTTAAAAAAGGGGGGAGATCAAGGGCTTAATGTAGGACTGTTATTCTTGTGCAGTAGTGTAAGTTTAGTGTGTGTAAGTAACTTTGCCAACCCCCCAGGGGGAGAGAGCATGGTAACATCAGTGAATGGGGGCTCGTCCCCTAAGTGCTTGTACTCTAACCAGGCATGAGACATTGGCCCTGACTCCCACCCACCCCTAGTCACGGTCACCACAAGTTAAGTGACCAATTCCAATGCAACACTGGGGGCCAAATAACCATTCACATCACTAGAAACCTGAACATATGTGACATGCTCTTGAATGAGTTCCAAGCATATGGTTTGCCATTTGAACAGTAATCTTCAAAGGCAAGTTTGTGTGAGCTTGCGGGAGCAAATTGGTGTTTGCTTGTTTGCTTTTTATGCGTCTGTTTCTGCTTGTTGGAACGCGTGATGCGAAAAATATGATGTGTAAAGAATGAGTGTCAACAAACGCATGACATGCAAATCAGAGGGATCGTCTTGGTGCTCTGTAAATATTTGGCCCTTTTACTGACTCAAGTGTTCTTTCGTGGTAGACGCTTACAGAAAGGTCAGTGGTTCACTCTAATACAATCCACCCCACACTGCTTTCCTGTGGACATTCAAACTTGACATCCACTGTGCACAAATATAGTGAGGGTGCGTGTTGTGGGCTTTCATTTCTCACCCCTCAAATGGTAATGCTGGGCATAGTACTGAATTTATAAATTTAGAGAGAGGGATTAGAGACATGCTGATTTTTTTTTGTGTGCATTCACAGTAGTTGTGACCTTTTGACAGGGGATGGGGATTGTTAAAATAACTTCACACTAGAGGTGGGAGCACTACCTCTTTACTTCAGCAAATGTGTAAGAATTTCACTTCACTCAAATCTACAGAGAGTTATCTCAGAAACCGCAACAGCAACAGCAACAATAATGGCTTATTCATTGGCTTAATTCTGGCAGATAGTTATGCCAGCAGGACACCAAACAGATGGTTGTTGATTTAAGAAACAACAGCTTTGCTATGTGGAATATTCTTCTGTGGTTTAAAAGCATCGTGGGAGAAAATAGAAATAGAAGTATTCAGTATTAAAATAAAGTGGGAAATGGAAAAGAAAAAAGTGTTCTGACACCTCTCCAGGCAGTGTTGGTATCACCAGACAGGGTCAGTAATTTCATTAAACCATGCCCGAGTGATTTTTTTTTATCATCCAGAAGACAAACAGTTGGACTATGGTAATCAGGGAACATGCCACAAAATGCCACAGGACACAAACAGGTACACTCCTCCTAAAGTGGCTCCACACCGGCCTCCTGTGCTCATTCAGATTTTACTAATTTTCTCTGCACTAATTGAATCTCTGTAATCGGTGATGTTATTTTGTTATTTGTCTTTTTATATTCAATTTGATGTTTCCCTGCCTGGGGTAGCTGAAAAAAAAAAAAAAAGATACCGGATGTGATATATTTGTTCTCCACGGGATAACATTCCTGTGGTATTGAGGTAAGAATTCTATATATCACTAGACCTCTCCTGGAAATAATGCCATCTCAATAGGGGTAAATCTGGGGACATTTCTGGGGATGGTGCCAGCTGGGGATGAAGCAGTGAATACAGACACTGTTCCTGGAAAACTGGGGCATCTGGTTTCTCAAGCTGAAATTGCTTGCCTTGGTATTTAGACCTCTGACTTATCCTTCCTGTTAAGACCTCCATTGTCTGTGGAGATAATGGACAATTCGCAGATATGAACGGTACACTCGCATTATTTATTCACTGCACCTTAAATCAAGTTCTTCAATTGAGTCCTTAAAGACTTATATTATGTATATTGTATATATATTTATTATATTTTTCCCCAACACTTTCAAGACTGTAAGTATGTATAATCCTAAATATATTTCCATTTCCTTGTGCTACCTGTAGGAGAGGAGGCACTGACTATGTACCTGGCCAAAAACAAGCTGGACAGGAAGCTTGCCAACGCTACTCAGAACGTGGAAGCCCTTCATCAGCTGGCCTCGTCCTACTTCATTGACCGTGACGGGACGATGAGGAAGCTGCATGAGATCCAAATTTCCACCAATGCCATCAAGGTCAGTGCACACGTATATACAATCACATATTTAGCGAGTCATTTTGTACGATGAAACACAGATGCACTACCTGAGAAATAATATTTCTCCTCATATGCAGGGTATTCACAATACAAATTGTATTCAGTAAATGAATAAAATAGAAATAGAAATACATTATGCTTTTTCTTGGACAATAAGATATATTATTTTCTGTATTCTTTGCTATTTCACCTTAGTTAGACAAAACAGCACAGTAGGTATTTGTGAGTACCCTACAAAACAAACTGTGTTCAAAATGAGTGTTACAAAAAATATTGTATTTTCTGCTCTGCCACCTTTGTGGTAAGGTTCTAGGCAAGGTTCTTTTCACTTTGGTGAAACTCTCTCTGTATGCCTAATCTTCCTCCTAAAGATTTCCTGCTACAGTATAGTGCGACATCCACTTCTACTAATGAGAGAAAACAGATATTAGCATAAGTTGTCGGGTAGCATCATACAGATAAGCTAGTTTTAATACACAAACTCATATAATTAACATATTTCACAGATGTACTCGTAAAAAAGGAGTAGGTGTGATGAAAATAAACCGCTGCTTCCACAGGCCGGAGGATACATTGATTTGCATGTGCCTGAATGGCAGTCTCTGTAATTCTAATCACATCCTCCCTTGTGCATATAATTCATCACATGCCAGGGTCATATGAGCGCCGGTTTTAAACAAAAAACAATGTGACCAATAGTTTCTGAAAATAAGTATACCGTGAACATAGACAACAGGAACAGGGCGCATAGATTTTGGCATTTAAACAAATAACCCTTCTAGTTGGTTTTTTTCTGCGGAAGACAGTCTCCTCCGTCTGTTCTGGCTGTCAGACGACTTGGAAAAAATAGCTAAGCTGTGTGAGTCTACTGCATGCGACTGCTTGCCAGTTGTGGTCATTCACATGCTCATTCACCCAGGGACACTGAGGTGATGCGGCTAGGGAAAGCAATTGTAAAGTATAACATCAAGTGATACCCCACAGGTCAGAGTTTTGGAATACCCCTCTTGTGACCATGTTCCAGTAATTAGCCAAATGTTAATTCTTGTCTCAGGTGAAGAGGGAGGTGGTATCAGCTTGGAATAAGGTTTAGCTTTAAAACTCATGCAAATACAGAACTGAACACAAAACAACTCTCTATATTGATTCATTATTTATAATAATAATCAGGCAATTTATAATAATGATATTGCATCGAGCAGGGCTTGACGTTCTACCTCCTGCCAACTGGACTTGCCCTTGGTATCACATTATGAAATGGCATGTAAACACACAAAAGCATAGCTGTCATCTGATTATTACAGTCACTCTCATAATGTTGGAAGGTAATTACCTTTTTATCATCTCTACCATACATTTTGCCAAATGCTTGCTGAAATAAAAGCATTTGAGATAGTATTATCGCAAGAAAAAGTAAATGTTAAAGCAAAGCATGGCCACAACAACCAAGGCCCTACGTAGCTCCTGATAGTGAATCACTCCTTTACCAAACTGGCAGGGATAAGCATGACAATTCCATGTGTGTGCCTGTATGACAAATAAATAATACTCCCCAGGACAACATCCTCTGTCTGCTTTGACCTTGCTCATATGCACCTAGTTCGCAAGGCAAAACATGCGCCGGAATAAAAGTTGGAGTGAACCTTGGTGTGCAGGCTCTGCTTCTGGGATGTTTTGTTGTGTGAAGATGTCAACTTGATTAACAAGTCAGCAGTATAGCTGTAGGAACCCGGATAACCCAGAGGAGCCAAGTGTTGATTACTGACTGTGAAATGTATCAGTCTATTTCTGACTACAATATGTTGGCGTGCACTGCTGCAATGAAACAGTTGAAAGCATACCACTTCATTCATTTCACAATACCTTACAATCATAAACACAAAACTCAGGAATAGACAATAAGTCAGTTGTGCAGTAAAAAATTGTTTTTAAACAAGTAAGTGGGAGAGAATACATTAAAGAACACACTGTGGAAACCTCAGTACCAGTGAAGGTTTTTGTTGATATGGAAGCAGAGTCAGAGAAGCCCAGCAAACAATGCTCCAGTTAGAATTGTGTTACTTGCCACATTCAAATTTTAAGTGAGTTAGCTGGTGTTGATTTCAAGCTCTGGTGAGCATGTGATAGTCTCCAATCACACAGGTCTTAGCAGAAAGCAGATTGCAGGAGCAGAATAGGCGGCGCCACAGAGAAATTGGAATGCCACAGGATTGTAAAGACTTACATCCTGCAACAGTAAATGTTGTCTACCTTCTGTAAAATATAGCAGTAGCAGTGCATCACTTCCTGTGCTGTAAATATCGCAGAAAAGAAAGATCATTTGAACTTTTACTACTTGAGTCTTACTTCAGATTGAGATTTTCCAATTTGGGCTCTGGAGCACTTAATTGATGTCCAGTATTCTTAAAGTAATTTGACCAAAAGAAAGACACAAAGGAAAGTTTGGCTCAATGACATTTTGACATAATGGTTAAATGTCTGTTGATGTAATTTGACACATCTGATCTGAATCCTGGGATTTCTATATAATTGATATGGTGCAGGACAAGAAAGTTGGTATTTTTCACACGTTTTCCACTGTTAGCATTAGCATCAAAATACCATTTTAATGTGCTATAATGCCATTCAAATCTCAGCTGAATTAAAGATTAATGGTTTGTAGCATTCTGTCTGTCTTTTATTTTTCATTCGATTGAATTCAGCTGTCTGGGGAAATCAGAAATTCTATAAGTTTCACTAATTTCAAAAAAACACATTGAAAGCAATGTGCAGATACAGAATCAAATCATGCACAATCAGCATAATACTGTTGCACAATAACAATCCAAACTGCGTAGTTATTCTAAGTATTCCACCCAAACTGCTACTTTGTTTTGTAGTGCACATCAGCGGTGGTGTGCGCATCCTGGAGCACTACAATGATCCATGAAAACTAATTTAAACTTATCTCTTCTCTCTACATCACCAAACATCCTCAGGACTGCCCATTCTGCCAATCCTCATTCCGTGTCTTCATCTAGGGCAACAGCTTCGCGCCCGGTGCCCTTATTGCCAGCGGGCCTGGCAAAGTAAAGCATTGATAAAATGCATTTTAAATTAGAGTGGAAAAAAAGATGTCAAAGAATCAAACCATAAATGTTTTAACTGCATTTGACAGCAATGTAAAAGGGAACATGTAACTGTTAAAGGTATGAGGTAGACACCAAGTCATTCATTACTCAATACATTTTCCCCTGTTGAGTATTATAAAACTTGTTGCTCACATTGTAGAATTATGCATTTTATTTCTTTGGAAGGATTTACTGGCTTCCTCTTGGTATAGATTTTGAATAGTGTTGATATTTTTCATAAGTTTGAAACTCCCACAGCTGCTGCCATGCACCTGTGCATGCCCACACATCCGCACAAAACAACCTCCAGTCCAACTCTCCAATACACCCACCAATGTGCTACCTCCCTTTCTTCATTCGAGGAGCACCGTCCTAGCTTTTAGTTGTCGTGAGTGACAAGTGGATTAAGGGGCTCTGGCAGATGAGACTCCAGGTACCAGGAAGTCAACCATGACAAAATTAAGCAGACCTGACAGTGGTTGCTGAGTCAGTTTCTGAGGAAAAGGAAGGCAGTAGGTGTTGAGAGGAGAGTGTATCCATACAACACACACACACACACACAAAGTTACTGCAAAGCTGAGTGGACTGCATGTCTGCTGATCAAGGCCGATGGACCTGAAGCATATGTCAAGAGGTGAGGCTTTGTCTGAGTTTGGAAAACGAGCTGGAAATGGATTGGTGGTTGAGTCAATTTGGGATTTAGTTAATGGGAATTCAGGCATGCAAGATAGCTTTCACCTATCGGGTATAGCATCCTCTGAGAGTTAGTAATGACTTGTTTGAAACTCACAATTAGTCTCTTACTCTTCTAACAGGAAGAAATAGCAATTTAACAGGCTTGCTCTATCAAGCAAAACAAACATGGCTGTGTACACATATGGCGTACAGTAGGTGTACAGTAGAAATGGTTGCACACATAATTACTTAGCTCAGTTGCTTTTCCTATGGTTTCTTCAAAGGTTTCCCCTGTTAGAGGGGAGGATGTGATGTTGGGCTATAAATATAATTAACTTCACCTAACATACCTTGGAACGAGTGTGATTAAGGATACGTAATTATACCGGTATAAATGTTGATGATGTCTCTTACATTGAATTCAAGTTTTTCCACATTTTCTGTCCTTAACGGTGCACACTTTCAGTCTCAATTACTGACTAAGCATAGTGGCCAACTGGCCCAAGGTCCCTGAAAGCTCCAGGTTCAGTGCGTGTAATTGCTCTGTTGTCATTTTTTATTTTTTATTTTTTAAAGATAAGCGCTTTAAAGGTGAAATGTGCATCGTCTGACTTTTAGTTTAAAACATTCAAAAAAATGAACTTTATCAACAGAATGTGAAGAGGTTACTGTGTTGACGTTATGTCAAAGTAGTCTGCAGCCTTTCTTTACTACAGTCATAAACATATGAGGGATTGTCGATACAGTATTTTATTCAAGTTATATGCGGCTGATGTTTGTGCAGGTTGACAGGGGCAATAGTTGAGTTGTGATGGTGCTTCGGGGGGTAGGGCCTTTAAAAAACGCATCGCCTCGGGGCCAATGGTTCTTTAATGCGACCTTGATTGCAATGCAGAGATATCTACTGAATTGAGAATGCTAACCAGCTAGCCCCAACCCGGCCTGTCCTTTAATATCACTTATACATCGAGAGGTGATAGTGAGTCACTGTAGCGCCAGGATACTATATATCCATGTGTATAAGGGTGCAAACATACTTTAGTGACTACAGGTAGAATATGAATGTGGAAAATAGAGGAAAGGGTGAAATAGGGATAAAAACATTGTTCAGGAATAAATTAGCCAAGGATAGAGTTGGTGCAACCTTCAGTAATGGCCAATCACATTAACTCTTCTCATCTCATTTAAAAGC